CCTTCCTTTCTCCAGGAGTGTCAGCCCCTCATTGTCATCTCCCCCCTTCGGGTGGTCAGCACGTCGTGAGAGCGCATCCAGTTTCCCCATGAGTTTCCCTGGGTGGTGGACAAGGGTGAAGTAGAAGCGGGAGAGGAAGAGGGACCATGGTGCTTGGCATCGGTTCAGCCTCTGGGCTGTGTGGAAGTACCCCAGGTTGTGGTGGTCCATGTAAACCTTGACCTTCTCCTTGGCACCTTCCAGGAAGTGCCGCCACTCTTCAAGGGCTCGGACGATTGCGAGCATCTCCTTGTCGTATACCTCGTAGTTGCATTCCACATCCGTGAAGCTTTTGGACATGAACACTACTGGGTGGAACTCCCCATCCGACTGGAGCTGGGAGAAGACTGCACCAGTTGCAAAGTTGGAGGCGTCGCACTCGAGCCTGAAGCAGCCGGAATCGGTGGGGAAGGAGAGGACAGGGGCAGTGGTGATGGCTTCCTTAAGGGTATGGAAGGTGTGGTCTTCGTCCGGGCCCCAGTTCCAGACCTTGGTTTTCCAGGTCAGTGCATGAAGTGGGCCTTCCCCCTCTATCCCTCTTCCACTTCTATTTCTATTTCTATTTCTATTTCTATTTCACACGGACGACCTTTCCCTTATACAGTTCTCCAATAAACTGTTGCAATGTTTTGCACTTTTGACTTCATGACTTTATAGCATGATGATAATGTATTCTAAAATCTCAAAAAAATATTCGAAACATGTAATAGTATCCCATTTAAATATGTACCAATTATGTAAGCAATATGTCCATTTTTGGTAATGTTATGTAATTTACAAACCACCCTGGTCATTGCAACGGTTTATTGGAGTACATTTTTGGGAAGGGAAAATGGCATTAATTAATACTTTGCATAGCCACCTTTGCTCTAACCACTGCCTCAATCCTCCTAGGCATACTCTCAATTAGATTCTGGCAAATACTTGGATCTATCCTATCCCACTCCTCCTGGAAGCGATCCCACAGCTCCCGAACACTACTTGGAGGTTCTTCATATTCCCCAAGCTTCCTCTTCACATGATTCCAGAGATGCTCGATTGGATTGAGGTCTGGAGACTGTGAGGGCCACTTCATGACCTCAATACAGTGGTTATTGAACCAGTTTTGGGCCTTTTTGCTGGTGTGTTTGGGGTCATTGTCCTGTTGGAAGAGGACATGGGCTGGGTTTTTGTGATAATATGATATGGTTTCCTGTAGTTCCTCATCCAGAATTTGGCAGTACAGGTCCCCATCTATCTTCCCATCAATCTTGCATGCCATTCCAACCCCATCCCAGGTCATACAACCCCATACCATGATGGAACCTCCACCAAACTTTTTTGTGCCTTGCACCAACCTGTCAGTGAGAGGCTCCCCCACCCGCTTCCACACCCATTTCCTCCCATCTGAGCCCAGACGATTCATGTTAGTCTCATCAGACCATACAACTCTCTTCCAGTCCTCTAGAGTCCACTCCTTGTGGCTGAGGGAAAAATCCATCCTGTCCCTCTTGTGATGCCTGGTGAGCATAGGCCTTTTTTTCTTCACCACTGCTTTCCAACCAGCTTTTTTGAGCCCTTTACATACAGTCTCAATGGAGAGGGATGTGTCATTGATGTTTCAGAGTATTCGGGTGACTTGGGATGAGTTGTCAGCCTTCCCAGAGTTGATGAGATGACAAGCATGGCGAATATCAGTGTCAGAAAGCTTGGATGGACGACCACCACTGGGCTTGGGAACATCAGAACGATGTTTAGACCATAGGCGAGTGACAGTGGAGTAATGGTGGCCAGTAAGAACTGAGATTTGGCAAGCACTATGGCCAGAATCAATGAGGGAAAGGATTTGTTCAACTTTTGAAGTGGCTAAAGGATGCATTTCGGATTTGGGGCCTTATCATGTGAAGTCCTTCAGTATTTTTGCTTTATTAATGTCATTTTGTTTACTAGTGTGTACAGTAAACAATATCACATGACATGTCACATGATATTCCTATTTTCTGTTCAGCCTGGGGGTACTCCAATAAACCGTTGCAATGACCTGGGTAGTTTGTAAATTACATAACATTACCAAAAATAAAAATATTGCTTACATAATTGGCAGATCTTTAGATGAGATACTTTCCCATGTTCTGAATATTTTTTTGAAATTTCCAAATACATTTTCATTGTGCTATAAGGTCATGAGTTGAAAAGTGAAAAACATTGCAACGGTTTATTGGAGAACTGTATCTATGTATTATTGACCCACCCACGATGTGCACATGACATGCCTAGCCCCAGATGACCCTGGACGGCTCTAGGGCACAACCTAGTGTGCGCGCGTGCAGCATATGCCCTTGGGATCCCCCACAGGGACACCCGGGTGACCACATGTCAGGGCACACCCGCCTGACCCCACTCCATCTGGTCCGACCCCACCCGATTCCACTACCCTCACCCGCTGCCCCCATCCTCCCTCCTCCCTTCTCTCCCTCCTCCTTCCCCTTCTTCTTCCTTCTTCTTTCCTTTCTTTCTCCTTCTTTCCTTTTCTATTACATGGACAACTTCCTTGCTCGATGTACCATTAACCAGACTGCGCAACACGCCCAGACCCAGACACACCGGGTGATGCCCTACACACTGGACGCCCCTGAGACCTCTTACAGAGATGCCTGGGCGGACATGGCTGTGCACGTAGATGATGTGGTGCTCCCCACGTGACCTCCAACCGCATGTACATAAACACAGCCTAAGTGGGAACTGAGAAGTAACCTTCTTCTCACACTTCCCACTTTAGGCAAGTAGCTTACATTCCCCTGCTAATAATAATAACACACTTCCCACTTTAGCCTAAGTGGCCAGGGACCCTTGCCTGCTTCGGGCCCATTGTTACACATGCCCGCGCTGCACCCTACCAGGCCCTCAGCCCCAGGTGATATACCTGGATGCTCTCGACCCCGGGTCGGTCCCTGACACTGTGGCTGTATGCAGGGTGATGTGGTGGACCTCATGTGACCCAAGCTGCATGTATATAAACACACCTGGGGTGGGAACCGAAGAAGTAACCTTCTTCTCAACATTCCCACTTCAGGTAAGTAGCATAGTTTCCCTTTTTAATAATAACTCAACATTCCCACTTCAGTCTAAGTGGCCAGGGATCGCTGTCCCGCATCGGGCCTGCCAGTACGCATGCCTGATCTACCCCCCGTGAGGTCCTTAGCACCAGACGCCACGCCCGGACCGCCTCAACCCCGGACACGTCCCTGACACTGGCGGTAGAAGTTCACAAACCCTAGGAAGGACTGTACTTCCTTTACCTTGGTTGGGGTGGGCCAGTCAAGGACTCCTCGGACCTTCACGGGGTCCATTGTGACACTTCCTTCAGAGATGACAAGTCCAAGGTACTTGATCTGCATCCACTTGAACTTGCACTTCTCTGGCTTCAGGAAGAGCTTCCTCCTTCACAGCGTCTCCAGGACCTCTCGGACGACCCTCTGGTGCTCCTCTAGGGTAGTTGTGAAAATGAGGATGTCATCCATGTAACAGATGACAACCTCCTGGTCAATGAAATCCTGGAGGATATCGTTCATCATGGTTTGGAAGGTCGCAGGTGAGTTGCATAGCCCAAAGAACATCACCATGGGCTTGAACAGCCCCTGGTTGGTTGCAAATGTGGCCTTCCACTCGTCACCATCCTTGATTCAGACATTGTTGAACCCCCAGCGCAGGTCTAGCGCTGAGAAGTATTTGGCATTGTGGAGGCAGGTGAGGACATCAGAAATGAGCGGGAGCAGGTACGAGTTCTTTACTGTGATCTCGTTCAGCTTCTGGTAGTCCTGAACCAGGCGTCACCTATTACTCATCACCTGATCACAATAAGAAGGCCATAGAAACCCCCCTGTTACACAGGTGTCTTAGATAGTATATTCCCATTTCCGTGCACCTGTGCACCAGCACTTACATACCTAATCTGGCTATGCAAAGGCCCAAAGGGCCCAGAGAAGCTCTGGGGTACCGTGATCAAAAAATGTCAAAAATGCCCCATGATGTAATCCCTCCACATCATCACATGTACTTTCAGCATCGACTCCGGTGTCCTCGTCGCTGTCAAAGTTGTCATCAACAACATTTCGTCGATTTTCATTATTTTCTCACTTCTCTGTCCTGTAACACCACTGAGTAGTCATGTGAACATACAATGTTTGTTTCGTAACAAGTATAAACATAGAATGTATACCTATCAGCCACCAGCAATGTATCATTCTAGCCTCAATCATATATGTATTCATAATCCCCCAAGGGGACATCAAACTACTGGTCTGTAGGTAAGAAGGGTGGAAATAACGAGGTATGTCAGTTCAGCAGTGAGTTGCCTTTTTGAATTGAACACATTCACATTGGCCCTTTGTTCGCTCCACTCCAACAAAGTCTCACCGCAAGGAAATCCTCTCTCACATTTGCTGTACAAGTGCAACCGCCTTGGCACCCTCACTCAAACCTGGTGTAGCGACAACCTGATGGGTTTTGCATGGCTTCGGGTTCTGGCATGCCCCTCGCTTTCTTCCCCTACCACCCACAACCTAATAAGCCATGTCATGCTGGCAGCCATAGCTCATTGCTTACCGGCTGCTGTTTCTAATTGCACCGGCTTGCATGGCGGTCTCACCTTCTGAGTTGATCAGTGCTTGGGTGGCGTCGTTCGATGTTATGGTATTCCCTGTGCAAGTCAGAGCACTGCGATAAGTTTCAGATGAGGATCAAGCGTCCTCCAGCTTTCCATGTGAGCAACAGACCTGGAAGACAGCAATGAAGGCTCACGAGCCATATCAGATCTCAAACGGTGAGTGGAAAGGGTGCATCAATGACAAATCAAAGGAGGAATGGGAGAATCGATAAGGGATTGCCTGATTAACTTATGAGGTACGTGGCGCACTACTATTGAGGGATTGCTCCTGATCGTTGATCGTGGCCATCGTTAACAGTTCAGCAAGCTGCCGCCATCAATCTTCGCGCTCTTCCTCAGTAAGTCTTACCCACTTAATCTGATTTGTTTTCCATCCCTCAACAACCTGTTGTAGGTGTTGAACGTTGGAATTTTTTGGCTCCTTTAGTTTTCCTCCTGGATAGTGCTTCATATCGATCGCAACCCTATGTTCGATCGTGAGTTTTAGGTAGTTCTTTGGCACCCATTCCATTGACAGGTGGGGTTTCCCAGTAATTCCACCTGCTTTCGTCAATCTTAATTCTGATATTGGTATTCCATCAGGATGTTGTCACTTACGGAGCCCTGTCCTTGTACACTCTGCCACGTTGTGGCACAACTCTCCTGCCCGAGCCTGATATGCTGTGACAGCACCTTCAAGTTCCCATTGAGTGGCTGGGGTAGTACTCTTTTGCATGAGACTCACCTTTTAGGGCGCTAATGCAATATCCCTCCATGAGACACACATTCTCCATCATGTTTATCTTAGCTACACCACACCAAAAGTCCATCACCTTAGGTGTTCCCCACAAAACAGGTGCGAAAATATCTTCATTATTCCCTTTCACCATCATGACCAACACCTCGACGCCACATGCATCATGAATTCTCTCTGCCTGTGGTATGTCAATCTCTCATGGTAATCGCTCACACCATTCACTTACAGTTTGGATTAGCTGATTTTGGGCATGGGAGGTCATACAGCCCACAGACAACTCGGGTGAGACAACGTTCTGCTTCACCATTTGATTCTCCCTTTTGATAGTTATGCCCTCCAATAGGATCCTTGCATAATGTTCCTCCATCGATGTCATTTGGCTCTCAACGTCCTTGTATGTGATTCTGTCCTCGTTAATATCATCAAGAAGTTCGAGATATTCTTGTGAGTATGGAAGATCTGGCAGCTTTTGCGCTTGTAAGTGGATCCCATTAGCCTTTTCGTAACATGTTTTCACTGACAATGCCACATACCCTGCTTGCGGTTTGCCTGAGCCTTGGCACGTGCCCATGCATTAGGTAGCATGGGCTTACATGTTTTTTTAGGTGCAGCAAGGTTATAGATGACTTGACTGCGAATCTGGCTTCGTGAATAGCAGGAGCCCTTCCCAGAAAACTCCAGGGCAATGCTGTCTACTTTAGCGTTGAAGGTGCGTTTCAGTTCGAGAATTCATTTGTTGAACACCTCTCGAACTAATTCTTTCCCCTTTCTCTTGGGCTGCCCATGGGGGGTCTCTGGCATTGAGACTATGCTCTGTGGAGATGCCATTTTCAGCGCTGTGGTTTGAATCGTGTCACTCCTACCCAAACAGAGGTAAATAGTTTTTTTTTTTTTTGATTTTTCTATTTTTGGTGACCCATTTAGAAATGTATTATTTGTTAAATACAGGATCACGGTATTCTGCAGGAACTCGTATTGAAAGGAGTGGCGGGCCCAGCTTCCACTGTTCTATCAAGTCTTGTGTCACCCTGCTGCTGCTAAACTGGCAAGTAGGTGAGCTTCCTGACAGCTACAGCCAAAGCGTGACTTCAAAGTATCAAAAAAGGTGGCCTTGTCAAAGTTGTGGTTGTGCACCAACACAACGATATTGTCCATGTCGGCCATTGTCAGGTATGTGGACAATCGGTCATATGATGACATTGACATCGCCGCCTCACTTGAAGATCCTTGGCCCGAAGATTCCCCTAGGCTTCGCCTGGAGATGCTCAACTCTTCCAAGAGACTCAAGCTCCCTTGGGTAAGTGGAGCTTGGTATGAAGATTGGGCTGCTGGAACTGTGGGATCAACACGATGGACATCATTGCCAGTTGGAGCCTCGGTCGGAGAGGGTGGCTGGGTGGAGTCCCTTGACGTGGAGGCTTCTTTCCGATTGACATCATTATCCGCTGCGTTTATACTTTGATCTTGGATGACATTCAACAGGTCTGGCATCGTCCACTCTAAAAGCTGAGTCCCCTTTTTCAATTGAGACTCATTATCATTCACCTCCCTCCTGCAGGCCTCTCCCTTAGCCATGATGACAGCAGTGCCAGACGCCTCCACCTTCGGGCCATCAGCTTCTACTGTGGAGTCCGAGTCGTCAGTGCCCATGTCCATGGTTTCCATGCAGCTCCCTCCTGAGGCAGCACTCTTAGGGACATGTTCAGGGTGAGTTTGTCCACATCGTTCAAGTATTTCCATGCGTAGTGACACCCAATTCGCGTGGTTTTGAACCTGTTCTGTGGCAGTTACAAGGGCGGGCAACATGTGTCCCTTATTATTGACCACTAGGACTGATGGCTGCCCAAGGCAGTCTCGAATGGCTGACTATCCCCAGAGGGTAAGCCGGTCTTGCATAAACATGATCCCACAAGCTTCACTCACTAATTCACTGACTGTCAGAGACCGGATCGAGACAAAGGAGTTGTCTCCATGGTGGAGGGCTTCGGCCTCAGCAACTCAGACCAGGAGCGCTGTGCCAAGTTACATGTCCATGCCCTAATTTACTTACTGGCAACGAGAACTAAAGAGGGATCAACTCTAGTCGATTTTATCACTGAGGTGTAACCTATGTACAAGTTAAGTATATGTCAAAAACCCGGATCGTAGGGGTAAATGCGTGAGTCCGAATGCAGGTGGGGCTCAACTAGAGGGGGGTCCGAGAGCTCCGGTAGTGGACCGAAGCTTCTCAGGGAGCCCGGTTCTGCTGGATGGTACAAGAAGGACGCGGCCTCAGCGACTCAGAGGGAGTGCTGTGCCTCCATTACGTCTCAGTTAGTCCTTGTATTTCTTATGTCTGAGGTATCTTGTAGAACGGAATGGGATTCACTCAGAGGGACTTTGGGTAGCATATTAGTCGAGATTAGAACTGAGGAACTACAGGTTCTAATCTACGGGTATTTATAAAGAGGAATGGGAAGGACTTAGTCAAAGTCCGAATGACAATGGGGCAACAACGAAAGGTGCTGAATGATACCGAGAGGTACCGAAAGGTCCCGAACGATATCTTAAACAGGGAACCGAGGTGTCGGACCAAGGAGGGCAGAGTTGGAGGCTGGAAAATGAATGGGAACGAGAAATGGGTAAGGGGGGGTTAGCCGACTGAATGGTAGGAAGAAGGTAGTCATGCCAAGAATGGAAGGTGACTAATAAGTGATAACGTGAGTGAGATCACCGAAGGATGCGGGTAGCTCCGAAAGCGGAGTTGCGTATCCAAAGGATATTAGGTGACTCAAATAAATGAAATGGGTGGAGGAATGTTTTAAGGGTATGTCATGGGATGTCGGAGGTCCGTTGGGATATCGGAGCAAATCCGGAGTCTCCAAATGTTCCGACTCAGGACCGAGCTTCCGGGATGGGAGTGGCCAAGGTTCGGTGTGCTGCAACCAGACCGGAGCTGAGACAGTCAGGAGGGAAGGTGACTCAAGGAGTGGGGAGGCGTGGTGTAGGGGATGGTGAAGTTGTTAGGAAGGTGTGATGTGGTGGGAGTGCACGGGGTCGGGATTCCGGGATATGACAGTATATATATAGTTACAGCGAGGGCAGGCCCGTGAATGGTGGGGCCAAGCAGAGCGGAGCTAACGGAGTTAAACATTAGCCGATTGAATATTACTGACAAGTCGGGTTATGGGGTTAGCGGAATGGCAGGCGATAACCCAGAAATGGAAAGGAGGGATAGGCCCAAAGGTGGACTTGCAGGGCAAGCAAGTGAATTGCCCAGCGGAGGCGGGAGTGTGCTAGCGGATGTCAGAGCTGTCTGGAAGCCTTTGGGGCTCTGTACTTAGGGAGGTGTAGGTAATATATTGAAAAGAGGGGGTGGTGACCATCGAGGGAGGCAGAGGTGATTGTGGAATACGGGAGCTCCGAGGTTAGTGAAGGAGCGGAGGTAGTCTGGAAGGATTGGAGGTAGTGGAAGACGATGGCCATGAATGGATATGACAGGTGTGGGCCGCACATAGGGGGAGGTCGTGGCTGGAGGGGGCCTGGTTGGTAGGAGTGGGGTCTAGGTGGGGGTGCTCATGGCTGGGTGGCTTGGAAATGTTGCCGTTGGTTGTCAAGGAGGGTGGCCTCACGTTTCCATTCAGCCCAGGTGGTGGGCATAGGGCGGAGATGATAAATGCTCTCGTGGAGCCGGGTGTTGATCGCTTGCTTGAAGCAGTCAACCAGCCCTACATCACCCAGTCTCGAGGCAGGCGCTTATCTCGAACTCCTGGATGACCTTGTCCATGGAGTTGCTCCCCTGATGGATAGCTGCCAGCTTCTGCTGGGCAGTGGCTTCCCGATTTGGGTCCTGGAACATGTCATCGAGTTCCATGTTGAACTCGTTGTCAGGGCAACCATGCCTGACCATACAACCCCAGAACCACCTTCCCTGACCTCCCCCACTTCCCTCATCCTCCCATCTTTACATACCTCTCACAACTACAGCCCACATGCGAACCTGTGGGAAAAATCACATGGGTCAAGGCAAGCAACTCGCCTTAACCCATGTGACACCTTTTCTGCATCACAGGAACATGCTTGGCTTCTACCCATAGTCACGTTATGAACTGTACAGTACATTTCCCTTTTATAGCAGCCAAGCGGGGAATAGGGAAACTTACCCTTCTTCTCAACTTGTCAGGGCACACCCGCCTGACCCGGCTCCACCCGGCCCAACCTGACCCGGTACCCCGCCAGTCCACCCTTCCTTACCCCCTCCCCCTTTCCCTTCTTCCCCTCATCCTCCCCTCCTCAGTTTCTCCTTATCTTACTTCCCCTTTATTCTCTCTTTATTCTACATGGACAACTTTCCCTGTATCAATGTACAACTGACCCATCTGCAGCGCGCCCACCATGTACCCGGCCCGGGCACCTCGGGCAACTTCCCGCTGTGCCCAGCACGCGCGCCTGCACCGGATACCCTCGGGATCTCCCACGGAGACACCCGGGTGGTTACGGCTGTGTGCGAGGGTGACGTGGCATCCGTCATGTGATCCAAGCCGCATGTATATAAACGAACCTGAAGTGGGAACCGAAGAAGTAGCCTTCTTCTCAACTTTCCACTTCAGGTAAGTAGTACAATATTTCTCCTTTAATAATAATAACAACTTTCCACTTCAGTCTAAGTGGCCAGGGACTACTGTCCCACATCGGGCCTGTCAGTACGCACGCCCGATCCGCCCCCCGCCAGGCTCTCGGTCCCGGACGCTATACCCGGACCCCCTCGACCCCGGACGAGTCCCTGACACAACTCAATCCCTGCTTAGGCAAGTTTTAGCTACCTTCAATACATGACAACTCAATCCCCACTTAGTGAGTTTGAGGAGCTTGGGATAGGATCCAGCACCTGGCTGCCTGGGACACCGCAAGTGTCCAGCTCTGAGGTAGGGCCGCCCCTGGACAGAGGCTGGGCCCTGACACTTGTCCATGGTGAGTGCTGGGGACCCTGCTGTCAGCAGTGAGATCGCGCACTGCGTTGCCCATGCTCCTGCCGGCCCTCCCTTCATGTAGGACAACACAAAGAGAATCTGGGAGAGGGTGGTGGGGAACTCAGATGCATGGATGTGGAAGTAGATTCCACATTCAGCTTTGAAACGGTCGAGATCCTCGCTGGCTCCTGAGAAGGGTGTGGGGGGGGCAACCTTAGGTGGCTTGGGTCTGGGGGCAGGTCTGGGGGCAGGGGCAGGGGCAGGAGCGGGTGGGGGGTGGTTAAGGACTTGGCTCTCCACTATAGCCTGTAGTTCCTGGAACCAGGCTAGGAGGTCGTCGTACTGTTCTTCTGTCACCATGGCAGGGGAGGCAGGGGAGGCGGGGGAGATGAGGTTGAAGCCTTCTTCTGCTGTCAGTGTCAGGGCACACCCACCTGACCCAGCTCCACCTGGGCCCACCCGGGCCCACCTCACCTGCTCCCCCGTTACCCATCCTTCTCCCTCCTCCTTCCTCCCTCTTCTCCTTCTTCTCTTTCTTCCCTTTTCTCTCTTTCCCCTTTCTCTTTTGTTTCATTCTCCCTTTCTGTTTATTCTTTCTATTTACACGGACCACTTTCCTTTGTATCATTGTACTGTTAACCCATCCGGCTCAGACACCCTGGACAGCTTCCCGCTATGCCTAGCATGTGTGCCTGCAGTGGATGCTCTCGGGATCACGGGGACACCCGGATGGCTGCGGCTTTCTCCAAGGATGATGTGGAACCCATCATGTGACCCAAGCCGCATGTACATAAATGTACCTGAAGTGGGAACTGAAGAAGTAACCTTCTTCTCACATTTTCCACTTCAGTCTAAGTGGCCAGGGACTGCAGTCCCACATCAGGCCTGTCAGCACACATGCCTGCTTTGCTCCCCAGGAGGGTCCTTCTGCCAGGCATTACATCCGGGCCCCCTCCACCCCAGACATGTCTGTCAGGGACATGTCCGGGGTAGAGGAGGCCAGGGTGTTGGAATACGAGTCACATGATGAAACTGAACTGGAATATCCAGGAATATTCTAGGGGTTACTAGGCGCCTGTGTAAGCACTGGGCATATGTCAGAGACCGGATTCGAGACGAGGGGGAGTCTCCGTAGCGGAGGGCTTTGGCCTCAGCGACTTATGCCAAGAGCGCTGTGCCTAGTGACACGTCTGTGCCCTAACTTACTGACTGGCAATCAGAACCGAAGGGGTAACTCTAGTTGATTTTATTACTGGAGTGTAACCTATGTACAAGTTGGATATATATATGGTTACAGCGGAGACAGGTCCGCAATTGGCAGAGCCGAACGGAGCGGAGCTAACGGGGTTAAACATTAGCCGACTGAATATTACTGACGAGTCGGGTTGCGGGGTTAGCGGGAAGGCAGGCGATAACCCAGAAATGGAAAGGAGGGATAGGCCCGAAGGTGGGCTCTGCAGGGCAGGCGAGTGTATTGCCCAGCGGAGGCAGGAGTGCGCTAGCGGACGTCAGAGCTGTCCGGAAGTCTTTGGGGCTCCATACTTAGGGAGGTGTAGGTAATAAATTGAAATGAGGGGGTGGTGACCATCGAGGGGTACCGAGAGGATTGCAGAATATGGGAGCTCTGAGGTTAGTGAGGAAGGAGCGGAGGTAGACTGGAGGGATCAGAGGGACCAGGAGTCAATGGCCGGGGATGGCTATGACAGCATAGAAGAGCCTGGAATATTGTTGAGAAGTACAAATATGGGCGCTGGAGCACTGTGTGTATTTTAGTTATATTTCTTTCTATATTACATCTGGGTTGCGAGTGAACTGCTGAAGCGGGTTACCATATTTGGAACGCCGTGTTTACAACATGGGGTGAGACACCCGACACTAGAAGCCTTGTGGGGTGTGGAGTGGGCATGCATACTGGCAGGCCTGGCTCAGGAGGCAGTCCCTGGCCACTTAGACTGAAGTGGAAAAGGGTGAGAAGAAGGCTACTTCTTGGTTCCCACTTCAGGTATGTTTATATACATGCGGCTTGGGTCACATGATGGGTGCCACATCATCCTTGCATACAGCCATAGTCACCCAGGTGTCCCCATGGGGGATCCTGAGGGCATCTGCTGTGAATGTGCAAGTTGGACATAGCAGGGAGTTTGTCATGACCGACAAATCCCAGGGCTCCGTCAGCGGCGAACCAATGCCGATAGGCGAATCTGCCGACCCGAAACCCATCCTAACCAGCCCCCAACCCCATGTCTGGCCCCCTGCCTTATTGTGTGAGACTTGGCCAATAATCAGAACCTAGACCCTGCTGGCATTCCAACCTTACCTCCAGTTCCCGAGCCCTTGGCACTCCTGGCATTCAGAGTTCCTATGCCAGCCTTGTCTCCATCTGAACCACACTCATTGCTTCCTGCTATGTGGTCACAGCCATGCCCTGCTTCTGTGCATTCCACACCCTCTGCCCACTCCATGCCCTCTGCCCATCTCTGCACCCTCTGGCCACTTCTGGTTGCCCTTGACACCTCTGGTCAGGTCAACACTCCCACTCCCCTCTGTACCTCTGTTGGCCTTCATGCTGTCCTTGTGTGACAGTGCTGATAGATCAACCTCTGTTCGCGGACTTGTGTCGGCACCGCACCAACCCCGCTTATTTGCGGACTTGTATCGGCGCCGCGCGCTGACCTCCGCTTTTGTCCTCTGGCCATTTTTGTCACTCGGCAACATAACATTCATTCCTTGCTGAGTGCCTATTATGTTCACCCCAATATTGGCATTTGATCCGTGTGCTATTGCACTTTCCTATTCATTCATTTAATCTGTCAATATTGGTACTTGATCCGCTTTGACTTTTATTCATTCCTTGCCTCCCATTTCCCAGGTTCTTGTCCTTGGTTTAGTTTGACAAGTCCCCGCTCATTTCCGCTTATTTCCGCACTGGACTGACCGGTCCCTCTTTTGATTTCTCTTATCTACTTATACCTTGTAAATACTTTCGGGGACCTCAGTCTGAAATCAACTAGAGTACCCCCCTGTCTGGTCTGAGTCCCTCCTTCTGCAAAGGGGGCTTCCCCCTCTGAGTCCGTGCTTGCAGAGTCCGTGCTCCTCCTACAGGTCTGCTCTGCCCACAAGTCTTGTTTGAAGTCCGCTGTGAGTGTCAATCCATAAATATGGGATCTCCCCCAAATGTCAAGCTCAGGGCACAGCGCTCCACCTGAGTCGCTGAGGCCGCGATCCCACTCTGCTAACCTTGAACAGCACTTCCGGACGTGCCACATATTTCCGCCCGCATATCCACGCGTGCGCTCCAACAGACCTCTGCATCACCTCCGACCTCAACTCAGACAGAACCCAATCTGTCTTCTATCCGTCTCTGACGATACTTCCAACTCTGACAATAATCTCCAGATTCTGACAGAGTTGCCCAAAGCACCCAGGCCAGGCATGTCATGAGCACACTGTAGGAGAAATAATATTCAAAGAATAAAACAATGATCTATCAGAATAGTCAACAATCAGGTCACAAGTTCAGATGTTTAACAGATCTCATGATCTTTATGAGACTGGACAGACATTAGAAAATCATTATAAATTATCCACACCCATGTAGCATGAGATTTAATCTACTACAAGCATGCCTAGAATCTGGCATAGGTGTAGGAAAATATAATATTCAAAGAATATATCCCTACAACAAGAAAATAGCACATAGACGGCAGAATAAGAAGGAACATTGGGAAAGAAATGTGAATATCTCGGGAACCAGTAAACTTTTGACTGTAATCTTTTTACCATCTAAAAGGACTGTTTCTTAACTTTATTCACGTTTTTGTTTCATTTTGAAGGCTTCGAAACTGACGGAGATATCGCTCAAACGGCGAAACACCTCATATTATTTCATATATATTTATTTGCTAATTCTTACAAAAAGTAATGTGACTCAAGGGAAATATATTGGCACCCGGAAGTCTGGCGGACCGAATACCATATGACAGAGTATTCCCCAGCGCAGGCGGACAGTTTTTGATCGCATCGGAAGAGGAAAAAATGCTACAAAACTGGATCTTGTATATTTTCCCATGATTCATCAAAACTTTTTGATTTTAGGCTCAAATAAATCGGAACAAAGGAATGATTGATGATCTGGATCTCGGATCATAAGCATAAAGTGATTCAGAAGTCCGCGGATCAGTTAATTAATTGGGAAAGCTCTAGAACATTAGTAATGATGCGGCTTCACAAAAAGGGGTGAATTAGAGAACAGTCTAGAAAGTTCCTTTATAGCCGAGTCATTTCTAAAGATAACCGTTCGTAATTAAGGAGGTGTAGAGTATAGCCTTAGCGCTACAGGACCCCGCTAAGATCGTCCCAAAAGACAAAGAAATGAATTACTTATTGCTGAGTCATGTCCTAAGTCCATTATTAAGCTTACACAGCCCAAGCCCCTATATCATTCTAGAACTATCTATAATACAAATGTAGCACATGTAACTAGTGCGAGGCGTGGGAGTAGAGAGGTCTCTGAAAAGCATAAAAGGCCACCGCTTCTGCCCCCTCTCAAACCTCAGGTAGAAATATAAATTTAATTCTCCTCACCAGTGGTTGGTTCGTTTGCTCCAAAAGATAAAAGCAAATATTAGTTGTTAGCTAATATAAAACTAACACGTCACTCTAAGCATGAGTTAGGGTCAGTTAGACACAGCTTAACAAAAGTGTCATAGTGAGAATTAGTGAGAATTTGGTGGAGGGACTTCTTAATTGAATAATCTCTCAGCAATACTTGGTTATCACACCACAGGAGAAAAGTGAGCGATCCTGAACCTGCTAGATAACTAGCACGCACTCTAAGCAATAGAAAGAGCAGTTTGGTCACTCCTGTATTGAGTAACATTTATTGCGGAATTATTTTACTAGTAGTTTTCCTTCAGTAAATTATCAGGAAAATCATGTCCTACTGAAAAGTGGTATATCTAGGTGTAATATTGACTAGAAATCATAGTAAAGTCAATATAGAATCTTATCCGTAGACAATCTATACGTCAGGTGAGATCGTTGGGGGGTGTTTATTGTTGTTTAGACAGTGAACAATTTTATATTTGGCAACCAAAACACGGTCAGTAAGCAAATCAGCACAAACTCTAATATCGTTATTGGACATAGGAAACTGGTTACATAAGGTGATCCAGCTCTGCTCCTTCAATGCTGCAGGTGGGTCAATGGTACATTGATACAGAGAAAGGTTGTCCATGTAGAATAAAGAGAAAATAAAGAGAAAGTGAAATAAATGAAGAGGAAGTGAAATGGGGAGAGAAAGAAAGGGGAAGGGGGGAGGAGGTAGGAGAGGACTGGGTGGCAGGGTACCCAGTGAAGTGGGGCCAGGTGGGGCCGGGTGGGGCCAGGTTAGGTGGGTGTGCCCTGACAGCGTCCCTGACAGTCAGGGACTCGTCTGGGGTTGAGGGAGCCCGGGTGTAGCATCTGGGGCTGTGTCAGGGCACACCCGCCTGACCCGGCCCCACCCAGCCCCACTTCACCTGGTACCCCACCACCCAGTCCTCTCCTACCTCCCCCCTTCCTCTTTCTTTCTTTCCCCATTTCACTTCCTCTTCCTTTCTCTTTATTTTCTCTTTATTCTACATGGACGACCTTTCTCTGTATCAATGTACCATTGACCCACCCGCAGTGTGCTCACGACATGCCCAGCCTGGGCACTTCGGGCGACCCCCCGCTATGTCCAGCTCGCACGTTCACAGCGGACACCCTCGGGATCCCCCATGGGGACACCCGGGTGACTATGGCTGTATGCAAGGATGACATGGCACCTGTCACGTGACCCAAGCCACATGTATATAAACATACCTGAAGTGGGAACTGAAGTAGCCTTCTTCTCACCCTTTCCACTTCAGGTAAGTAGCATAGCATTCCCTTTTAATCATAATAACACCCTTTTCCACTTCAGTCTAAGTGGCCAGGGACTGCCTCCTGAGCCGGGCCCACCAGTACACACGCCTGCTCCACACCCTGCAAGACTTCTAGTGTCAGGCGTCTCACCTGGGCCTCCTCTACCCTAGATGCATCCCTGACAGGCTGAGAGCCTGGCAGGGGGCGGATCGGGCATGTGTACTGACAGGCCTGATGTGGGACAGTGGTCCCTGGCCACTTAGACTGAAGTGGAAAGTTGAGAAGAAGGCTACTTCTTCGGTTCCCACTTCAGGTTCGTTTATATACATGTGGCTTAGATCACATGACAGATGCCATGTCACCCTTGCACACAGCCGTAACCACCCGGGTGTCTCCATGGGAGATCCTGAGGGCATCCAGTGCAGGCATGCTGGACACAGCAGGGAATCACTGTCAGAGTACACCCACTTCCGGCCACTTCCAGCCTACTTACCATCATGATCTGATTCCATGATCTATGATCACCCAGATTCCATGATCCATGATCACCCAGATTCCATGATCCATGATCCCTGTACAGCCTTATGATCTGATCCCACTCCAAGATCCATGTTCCATGATCCATGATCCAACACAGCCAGACAAACCTGGATCATTGATTGTTGGTATGTACAGTGCCTCGTAGATTAGCTGTGTGTGTAGGCTACAGTATATTACACCCTGAGTAGCGAGCAGGAAGACCAGCTTTCTTCTCTCATTTCCCCTCGCTGCTCAGGTATGTTGTACATAGTAACATAGTGGCTGGAATACGACTCATTTCCCCTCGCTGCTCAGCTGGAGCCTGTGTCACCTAGCACACCTCACGGTTCTCCTATTGAGACCGACCCAGACCTTCCTAGTCTTACCTCCACTTCCACTGGATCTCTTAACCTTAGCTCCGAGCAGCTCGGTATCCTGACAATCACCCGAGGTGCCTGGGCCGGGTGTGTGGTGGGTGCGCTGCAGATGGGTCAATGGTACATTGATACAAAGAAGGTCGTCCATGTAGAATAAAGAGAAAATAAGGAAGAAGTAAGATAGGAGGAAAGTGAGGAAGCATGAATGAGGAGAGAGGAAGGAAAGGGGGAGGAGGTGAGGAGGGGTGGACAGCGGGGTACCGGGTCAGGCGGGTGTGCCCTGACAATGTGACCTGAGCCGCATGTATATAAACACACCTGGGGTGGGAACCGAAGAAGTAACCTTCTTCTCATCATTCCCACTTCAGTCTAAGTGGCCATGGATGGCTACCCCGCATCGGGCCTGCCAGTACGCACGCCTGATCCACCCCCTGTGAGGTCCTCAGCACCGGACGCTACGCCCGGACCACCTCGACCCCGGACGCGTCCCTGACATTTTCCAACAATTACAACCAAACAATGTACCCCAAAGATGCATACTTTATTGTATGATGGAAGTTCTTATCAATACAGGTTAAAATACAAGTAATTTCTTAAAACCCTAGTACCTAGGACCACCCCGGACCACCCCGGATTTTCATTTGCCGGATCCGGATTTTCCATTGGGGAGCTGACCCTAGCTGGAATTTCTGATCCTAATCCGATCCTATCCTATCCACCCGGACCCCTACTAGAGTCATCCATGTCCAGTGCACGAATACACTGAAACGCAATTTCCGAATTATGAACTTTGTTGAGAATTGGATTGATTATTTCAAGCATATTTTGTGAACACAAGCAAGTCTCGGGCTCTCAGATGCCCAAGATTCAAGTACTAATTGCTACATTGGTCATCCAGGGACCAATAGACTATATCAAAGACGAAGCATTCAAAGATACTACCGTCCATGTAAGCCCCTGATGCACCCCGCCGCATACCCAGTGCCGCCACAGTATGTAACAGGGTAACACGGACCATTTGTGTTTTGTCCATCCTTGGTGATCCACCACCTATCAAGCTGATCGGACACCGTAACGTTACAACCGCAAAACGCAGCAGTCAGTCCTGATCCGAATGTGGTGTGCATATCGAAGGAGGGGCTTTGTGCCACAACTGCATTCTCGCACTGTGTCTATTGGGAAAACATTGGTTAAAGCAGAGTACTTTTCAAGCTTCAGTACACCTTGGCCTGATTGGAGAAAAATCCAGTCCGGTCCGCCTGGTTCGGTGTGATGATCGGATGAGTCCGTGTAAATCAGCTGCGACAACAGGGAGTAGAGCGATTGGGATCAAGGCATTCAATAATTTCATTGTGACATGCTACTATTTAATGTATGTGATGTGAGTAGCTATGTGCGCGACGTGAAGTAAGGAATACTGACCTCACTCTCAAGCAGAACACTCAGAGAACTGAGGGAAGCCATCCTTCAGAGGCTATATAGTGTCTTCTTAACCTTCGAAGACTGAAAAATAATCTTACCTAACCTCGGTGCACACGGTGAGGTGTCATCATGGTGGTGTCACTAATTGTGCCAGAAGGCATCATATCATCTAATTATGAACACACATCACACACTTGTAGATTTAAACGTTATTCCAGCCGAGCTGAGATATCAACATGCCTACACACCTATGGAAAAAGAGCCAAAACATGCGAATTACCACGCCATGCTGATTCTTCAATGCATGAATATTTGACTTAAAACATACCGCATATGCTGAAGACAAAACCGATGGATGATTCAGGAAATTTGAAAGAGAAATGGGACCATGCAAAGAACGGCAGCACCAACCGACGACCTGCACTTGTGATAATTTTTGTTGATGGTACCAAGGAAGCCGTTCTCAAATTACATACACGTGTTTGAGAACGGTTCTTATTATCGTGTCATCCAGTAAATTAATTAGGGATACCAATCGGTTCGGAGCCGAACCGAAGGTCCTAAATCGCAAACGCGATGACAGGTTGGCTCATACTCTGGTGCAGTTCGAAGGTTGAGGGATAATTGCATGCGGACTCGTTATTGAACCGAATCTTGGTCAAGTTGACGCTCCATGACCAATTCGGCTCGGCTCCGAACCGAATCACGGTATCCCTAATTAATTGGATGACACAATTTAATTCGAGAATAAAGAGGCCATTCTCAAACACGTGTATATAATTTGAGAACGGCTTCCTTAGTACCATCAGCGAAGGCTATCACGATTTCAGGTCGTCGGTTGGTGCTGCCGTTCTTTGCCTGGTCCCATTTTTCGTTCAAGTCTCCTGAATCGGTTTTGTGTGCGGTATGTTTGAAGTCAAATATTCATGCATTGAAGAATCGGCGTGGCGTGGCAATTCGTATGATTGACCCTTTTGCCATAGGCATGTTGTAGGTATGTTGATATTTCAGCTCGGCTGGAATAACTTTAATTTTGCATGTGTGTAATGTTCATTATTAGACGATATGATGCCTTCTGGTAGGCACAATTAATGACACACCATGCTCCGCATGTGCACCGACCACGGACTGTTAGGTAAGTTATTTTTCATTCTTCAAAGGCTAAGAAGACACTATATAGCCTCTGAAGGATGGATCCCCCCTTTTTTTCAGTCCCCTAAGTGTTCCGCTAGAGAGCGAGGCCAGTATTCCTTAATTCACGTCGCACACATAGCTACTCACATCACATACATTAAATAGTAGCATTTCACTAAAGTCACAATGCGATTTTGGAACGCCGTGATCCCACTCGCTCTACTCCCCATTGTCGCAGCTGATTTCCACGCTCTCCTGATCGGTTGTGCTCATCCTAACTACCCTCCCGAAGCGCGCACACCATATTGGACCTTGTACCCGTCGGACAAAGGTGAACTGGAGCCCGAAATGAGATTGCTTTAATTAATGTTTTCCCAAACAGATTCCGACATTTGCGCAGCAACCTCCACGCCCCAGGCACGGCACGTTTCACTCGGGGCAAAAATTAACGTTGCAATTTGCGGAGGTAACATCACGGTTTCCTATCAGCTTGGCGTATGGTCCAGCACGGACGGACGAAACGGAATATGCTCCCCTGTTAATTATGGTGGCGGCATTGGGCAGATGACGTCGTGCGTGAATGGTCAGGAGGTGTGCCTGGTTTTTGATACGCACTATTGCACGTCCGATTTCTGTAACGGAGGTGATGGAAGCGGCTAGCAGTGAACAAAGTAGAAATGCCCGACATCTGCTTGTCTTCGGAAAGTATGTTTGAAAGAAATGAGCATCTCAATCTTCACTGGTAACTCAGGCATTGCGTTTCGGAGGATTTGCGCACTGAAACTGATGCTAAGTCACTGGTGTTAATTAAATGAGCAAGTTGTTGAAATCACGAGTCACCGGATGGATTGTCGTGGGAAATCCCCCGGAGATTTCCCGCTTAGTCTGTGCTTGCGTACGCGCGCTTGTGCAGTTACTTATTTTACATATATTATCATTGTAATACATTTCGTGTATGTATAAATATGCACAGATGTGCATTGGACAAAGACAAAATCATCAGTATTTTCTCTCTGGTCTCGCGAGTATAGCCGCTGAAGTGAGTGGATTGCCTTATACGGAATCCCTACATTACAATACAAGTCATGACAACTCACAGGCCATGACATTACCTTACTACCCTTTTTATATGTTCAGGTCTCACTGCATAGTTCAAGCTGTTGGAAAGGGGGCTCAGTGGCAAAACCCGGTCAGGATGGCTGTCAGCTCTATAGATCTATTTTCGGTGTAAATAGGGGTAAATACATGCTATGTGCTTGCTCTCCAACACAAGCTACTCCCTATTAGTAGTTGCTAAGACCTCATAAAGGGTCCCCAGCCCCAATTGTCAACAGTCAATAAGGTAGGCATCATACATAAGTAATCACTGTCATATCCGTACAATCCCGACCTCCACTCCGGGCTCCCGGAACTCCGAACCTGACTTCCAGAGTCCTACTTCCCTTCTGCCACCTCCTCCTTGCCGACTTCCAAGAGGTTATCCCACCTCCGGCTCCAACACCACCTTCGGTCTGACTCCGGAACATTCCGGGTCCGACCTCATCCTCAACACCTTCCAGGCGAGCACGCAACACCTATGCTCCCGACTCCGGACCTCTGCTCCGGAATCCCGTTTGCATCTCCATCTCCAGAACCTCCAGTCTTAGCTCCGACCTCGGACTTTGACCCCACCTCCGCTTATACCCATTGTATTGGTTAGCTCATTCCACTTAATCATGTTTGCCAATATTCCGGAGTTTAACTTCCGAGTTCGGACTTTCCGGACTTACTCCGGACCTTGCAACTATTGCATTGTCCATTTCAATTCCGCTATTCTCCCTCATTCCTATTTGGGCTGCTGCTTCCTTCTATTCAGTCAGCTAGCCATTCCCCACTCCCATCCTCCTCCCTTCCTCCTTGGGCCTTGGCCCTTCATTCCTCCTTTGGGAAACACCATTGAGTCAAACCCTTGACCCTCGGTGTTGTTCCTCTTTCCATCTCCCTTTGTCTCCTTTTGTCCTACCCTTGTTCCTTTTGATTCCGGACCCCTCCTTATATACAATGTACCTAGTAACTTGTAACCTCAGTCCGAAATCGACCTGAATTCCCCCCAAGAGACTTTCCCTCTGCTAGATCCGAAATTAGGGACCCCCAGGACAACCAGCAATGGCACAGCGCTCTGCCTGAGTCGCTGAGGCCGAGGTCCTTCCACGCTAAGTCTCCGATTCCACTCCGGAGTCGTCCGAATCCACCTGATCTAACACGGACCTCCACCACCATACCTCCACCTCCTTGGACCCCTTGTTCAAAGGAGATGTGCCTGCTCATTGTTGATAAATCTCAACTTGCCTATCCACCCTCCTTCCTACCTCCAGTCTCTGCACCTCCGGTACCTCTGGTACCTCCTCACTTCTGGTACCTCCCCATTCCTATTTTACCTCCGGTCTCAATAAACTTTATTGTTTTATCATTTGATATTTTCTACAACCCCAATCTTCCAGACTACAACTTCCGGGCTCCGGACCTTCCCAGACACCTTTTCTCTGTAGTCCCCTGCTTGTTCATAGACGTTTCTAGGCCTTGCCATTCAGTTGGCTTTTAATTCTCTCGCTCCACAAACCTCAGACATGATTCGGGCTTTTTGCCTATTCCTTATTTGTCTTGAGGATTCTTTCTATTTACTTTTCCTTGGTAACCCTTGTTTACCTTCGGATCCAATTGTTTCCACTATATGTACGCATGCACCCCTCTAGTAAATAATCCCCCCAGTTATAATATAAACAGTCTTGAGCCCTCCAAAACCTCCTCCAGGATGTCTATCGTGTCCCACTCATCTGCTGCTCCAAAGAACTGAGTAACAGGCGCTCCTAGAGATGCCTTGGTATAAAATCCAACGAATCGCATGATGAATGATTGACCCTTGCTAACGCCTCCTTCGTTAAGTAGTGAGGGGGGGGCTTCCAGCCCCCTTCTGCTGGTGGCCTCAGTTCCTCCATTGCCAGCTCCCCTGACAAGTTGGGGACAACAAGAATGTACCGGGTGCAGTGCTCCATTCCAAGTTGCTGAAGCCGAGTCCCTTCAACACCCCGTCACCCTTGGAGCTCCACCCCACCTCCAGTCTGTCTCCAACCCACCGTCGGACGACCCGGAACATCAAGCTCCACCCGACAGCATCGCCTGGATAGTGATCAGACCTATCCAAGGAATGTCTTCTTGACACAGCACGTTGGAACCAGTGGCCTCACAATGAGTCTCAAGAAGAGTTTTGATGTTCATGAAATCATTGGAATGGAAAAGGATGTTGCAACAGCAACACTGGCTTGCTGTGGCTCAGCACTTGAACTTATCACATTGAGCATGCAAGTGAGCTGTGTCATAGCCCCGCTCGGTGAGAATCTGGGCCATGCCTTTAAAATATCCTGGGTATTGTGGGTGGTTGTCAGCAAAATAAAGTTGCTGGGGCTGCCCATTGAACATTGTGTCAGCCATGCATTTTGTAGTCATGCAAGGCTTTCCATTTGGACCATGGACAATTGAGCCATTGGCATCATGCAAAACAACAGGAACCCCCATGGCTTGGGATTCCTTGGGATTTTGACTGCCGATAATGAATCATCAGCACATTTGAAATGAGTCTGAGCATTATCAAACACAAAGACATGCTTGTCATTTGGGTAGCGAGTCTTCAAGATCTCCATGGCACATGATGCTTGCTCAATCACATCATCATTGGTGAAGTACCCATCTTTGTTTTTTCCAGGCTTAAGTGTCACTTGTGCATCACATCCGTCACCTCTCAGCCAACCATAGTCAGCTGAGACAAAATCAGCAACCATGAGTGATGCTCCTTCACCTTTTGGGTAAGGCTTTGCTGACTCCAAACTGTGAACCCAGTGCAGTCTTTGGCGATCATGAGCATAAAAAATGGACTCATCATGGTACCAGATGACAATGGGCCGATTGGGTGGGTTGTCAGAAATTTCTTGTTTGCCTTTGATATTCCACTTCCTCATGGAATCATTGTAGTCTGCCATGGCAGGCAGAAACACACTCTGGTGGTACTGGACAACATCCTCCCATGCATGCCCATCTGACTATTGGCCTTTTTTCTCCTGCTGCCAGCAATAACCCATTGTTCGGAGCCAATGTTGTGCTGTTGAAACCGAGATTGGCTTATCACGATTGAGTCGGACTCACATTTCTGGAGTATTCAAGAACTGGACTATGTCTGTAGCTGAGACATAGGGTCCAATGCCGCACAGGTGTGCCTCAATCTCGTTCCTAAGATCTTCATCAGTAGTCAGAACTGATTCCTTCCACCGTCCATATGGGTTGACTGGAATCGTTTCATAGTCCTTCATGAACACCCAGCACCATCTTCTCACCCGTGAAGCATATGATGGGCCCCGATCCTGTGATTTTGCGACCCACAACGATGCCTTAATCCATCCCATTTCCCCACTCAAGTCCATTTGCGTTGAGCCAAACATCCGGTAGACTTGGAGCATCTGCTCCAATTGCATCTGCGTAAAATTGTCAAAGTTCAAATGTTTGTGACCAGCACCAGTATCTCGAGGAGGCCTTATGAGAGCATCGAGTTTGGCTGCTGCCTCCATAACCTGAGTCTTGGTTGGCACTGCAACATGAGTATGTGAACAGCAAGTCACAGTGAGTTCCTCTTCACCTGCGCTTTGGCTACCAGCAGAGAGGATGGTTGGGCCCAGTGTATTGGATGGGTGTACAGTGGGTGTGGGTGTGGGTGCATGCGTGGATGTCAGGGACGGTGCAGGAGAGGTAGGGGCGGTGCAGACTCGTACCCAGTCGGAGGAGCTCCGTGGACGCGCAAAATAATAGCTTTTTTACGCAATGTAAATAAATGTTCTCACACTAGACCTGCTTCCGATTAAAGTCACGTTCTGTACTCAATACAACAGATCACATGGTACGGAGTTAAACACATAGCCGATCACCTACTCTGAAACTTGCCCGCGACACTTCGCTCCTCTGACTGGGGCAAATTGTAGATGGCTGTGCTACAGCACTTTCCGTCCCAAATTTTCCTGCGCTAATCTGTGGCCCGATTAGGCATCCAACGCCAACATCTCCGCCCTCCATGTCCGCTCTGACTGCAGCTGACCGAATATTGCATGCAGAGGAAATCCTGAGGTGTATCTCCGCTCAGGGGATAACGGTGACCATGTTTGTATCAATACTGCTCACCCACAAGCACTTCCTTGATGAAAAACTTAAATTGGAATTTGCAATATTGCGTCCATCTGCTCATGACACACCTGCAGAGGCAGTGGTTTTACATCATTTCGTTTTGGACAGTTCTGCATTGGGCTATAGCCAGGAAGCTCAAGATCTTATGGGAACAGAGAATGGCTTACATATGAGTGCACATAAGGCACGCGTGGATCAACTGGAAGCAGGCCGGTTAAGTAGGTTGAAGGAGCTATTCCAAGCCAAGTCCCCAGCCCTTTGGGGCCTCTGTTGCCGGTTATTGGATGTAAATGGAGCTTCAGGGTCGCGCAGGAGAGCAAAACCTATCCCAGTGCAATCCAATTTTGCCAATGATGGAGCCCAAGATGACAACATATCTGCAGGTAAAGCCAGTAAAGCCACATCTGGAGAAAGGAATTATGCACTCCTCAATACAGTAAGCATTTGAACAATTTCCATGAGACAGTACGACTTACTGTGATACAGAAAGCAGCTGTAATTATATCAATTTTGCTCCACAGTTCCAACGAGCATTGCAATGCAATGCAAGCCAAAAATGCGTTCTATCTTGCAGCGAGCCAGGCATCCAAATCGGTCCGAGAGTGGGCTGCACATGCAGGCCTTGCAGTCTCACCAAAGTCCACTGAAAACATTCGGAACTCATTAATGAGGACGCAGAAAATTATGAACATGGAACTTGGACGTACCAGGGTACTCAATCTCGCTTATGACAACTGCGACTTCAAATTTGGAGTCGGTCAGTCAACAGATCTCAATGAACACACCTTTGAGAGCATCACCACTGGCGTGTTCCTTGATCCCCCTAGTCAAGTGCTCCCAGAACACCTCGAGTATGCCGAGATGTTGTGGGATCGCCACCACAATAACCCAGATGCCACAAATCCCTATCCTCCCATGACTCCATCCGACGTCATCCCAACATCAGCCACTGTCCAGAACCTCATAAAACATTGTCAGTGGCATGTCAAATCAGTGCTTGTTGATGAATACTTCCCCGAAATGCGCTCAAACCTCGGTCAACCACAGTCAACATTCAAACTGAGCCCGGAAAAACAAAGTACTCAACTGCAAAAGCAATGTATGCAAAGGCATCAACAATCGATGGAAACATCGAAGCTCTCTTGTCACTGCTGGAACAAAGCAGCATCATGAACGCAGTGACATACGAGAAGTACATTATATTTGTTCATGGTGATCTTGGAACATTGGAAAAAATTGAGACTATCTTGCAGTCGCGGTGCATCGAGGACGACGTTTTGGAGCGCATGCACTATCTGCTGCCGATCCCTGGGCTTTTTCATGTTAGAATGGCATGCATTGATGCTATTAACAGGATACATGTGGTGGGACATGACTTACGCAATGATCCAAACAGCCTCTATAAAAAACTCGCCCATCTCTTCCCCAATGACATCGCAAAACTCAACAAAAGTGTCCCTCCCTTCCATATGATGAATGACGGTATAATGTTCATTACAAGAAGCACAATCCTTGACGCTTGGACAGAGAACATCGGAGGAGACCTGCAGAATTATGCAGAGAGTAAACCAGATTGGGGGGACATTGAGAGAAGGGCAAAGATCATTGTGTCCGAGTATTTCGAAACAAACACAATCTCATCTGATCAAAGACGTAACAGGCAGTGCGATGAACGATGGATGAACCAGGTCCTATTCAACCGCGATTCCATGTATTACCGGATTCTTGTTCATGCAATGAACCACGGAATGGTTGATATCATCATCAATGTCCTCTCATTCTGGGTGCCGGTGTTTCAGGCCTGTGGAAAATACAAATACGCGAAACACTTATCCAAGTTCTTATTTCAACTCAACCAACTTCCTGAACCATTAAAAGAGGCTGTGATGAGGTGTTGGTTATGCTGTCCATCTGGAAAGGAGGGCACATTTCGAGCAGTTGACTGGCTTGTGGAACTTATGAACCTATATACAAAGGTGCGGCAAACATTAATAGTGATGACAGATTTTAACATCGAACCACAGGTGGTATACGGCGGCTCGGGATCTGGGAAAACAATTAACTACGTGATTAGTCAATCATCAATAATCAATGCATACCGCCAGTGCATCGAAGACGTTGAGAGCGATTTTCACATACCAGAGAAAACGCTCCATCATGCAGCTCCTGACATCCAATCGAGGTTGGATGGTTTAAGAAAGAGCCTTCGTGAACTTCGGCCACATCGGTACGAGAGGGGGCGGAAGGCACCTTATGAGATAGTAGATTACTTTCAGAAGGGGTGTGCGCAGTTTGATAGGGGGATGATGTGGAACTTGGTCAATGTAGATGATGAAGAAAATGATGACGGACATACAATAGATGCTGCGGATCTGGCAGCATAAACTTCAGTGGCCCAATACTGATGTTGAAGCCAGCGCAGCATTTTCTTTGTCGTTGCATTTTTGTTCCTGAGAGAATGAAAATGTAATGCACCCTATTGATACACCAAGTATGCTGAAATACTCACGTGTATGGCCCGTTCGCCCACATGCACCACAGGGTACAGAGCATGTTCGAGCTAGAGCAAGTTCGTTTGTTACTGGGTGAAAAATTACAGAAAAACGTACCATTGTGACCCCAGGATCGACAGTTCGAGCATGTGATGGCTCGAGAACTTTCTGCAGCTCGAGATGCATTTGGAGCGACAGCAGGTAGCTCAGGTGGGGGGGGAATATGTTGTGCACAATGCTGAGTAAGTCCGAAGCATAGCGTTCACGATTTACCCAATCCACAAGCTGAATGAACTTTTTGCGACATGTTAACTTGTTCCCGTGCGCAAGATAGATGATGTCGTCGATGACATCATCAGAGAGGACAAGCCAGTCTCCCACCCACATATCGTCACGGCGGTCAGGGTAAGTGTGGGCAAATTCTTCCTTCCTCCACTCATAAAGTGCTTTGTCAAGAGCAGCTGACCTTGCCTCATCCTTCTCATATTTCAACTTGGGTCCGACCTGCTGTGGGTTCCATTTACTGGACGGTGGTTCAACTATGGCATCAAACATCCCTGACGTGTATCCAGGAGTATGTAGGTCACAACAAGTTGTTGGTTTGCGCAGATCACACCGTTTGCAACAGGTGCGTGGCATTTCTAGCGGGTGGATCAGGGCAGATCAGGTGGAAAGGTAATTCAAACTCACTTGTCTGGTTATTCCCGAAATACAAATCAAGTACTAACCTACGACAACCTCTTCTAGGGTTGCCCTCGGGCAGTAGGTCTGCATTGATAAATGCATCAAGACCTGGGTCAATGTTCTCGCGGCCTGCCAGTGCCTTCTTTGGCCTCATTGTTCTCGTTTTTTTCCGTAAGGATGCACAGTTGCCACCATCTCCAAGGCCCAACAGCATCTCAGCAGACTGCAACTCTCCCACCACCTCACCACCCACGATCCCATCAATGTTGTTAGTTGTCATATAGTCTTTGGGATCTGGTACTCGAGTGTAAGTCTGCGCAACAAACATCATTGTCATGGGAAAGACTCACCGACAACCCCATCTGAGGACTCTAACCGATCACTATCAAATTCCTCCATTGCATTACAGACCTCATCAAAAGCGATATCTGGAAACTCATCCCATATTTCACCCTCTGATGAATTGGATGCATCCAAATCGCAATCCCCCTCATGAACCGTATCCAGCTGATCAATGTCACTTGATGGCCAAACATCTTCTCGCAGCGCCAGTGTAGGATCCGCTTGATGAAGATCAAGCAGATAGTCATTAAATTCCTCGTTTGAAGGGGGTACTTCGTGGGCATCTGCAACGTTGGTAAGAGACTGCTGCAGTCCCCCTATTCGCTTCCTTGGCCGCTCATTGGTACTTGTGGTTTTCTGAGTAGGGGCTTTGCGCTTCTTCCGTTTGGTGGCCTTCTTTGCCCTCTGTTCTCGCTTGCGACGGGTTTCCTCAAAGTAATCCCGTGGTGCAAGAAGGATCACAATGCCTGTTGTGTCTGGATCCCTTGCTGCACGACCAAAGCGCTGAGCAAGCGTACTCAGATTATCGGGTGGGCCAAATTGAACCAGTCTTGTGATATTTGGTAGGTCGAAACCCTTTGTTTTAAACTCACTAGTGAGTTTGCAATCATCATGCATGAAGCATCACACTTACCAAACCCAAGGTTTCTGTTGCAGTAATTCCGATAAGTTTTCCATTTCTGAACGTTTCTACTGCTTTCTGTTTGTGTTTATCTGACATTCCGGAATGTACCCAAATTATTCTCCTCTTCAATGATCCTTCCACTCGAGACCACAGGTAAGTAGCGCACTGTTCCGCATTGTTTCGAGAGTTGCAGTAAACGAAGAACGGCTCCGGTATAGGGTCGGATTCTTTGAGTCCCAATGGTACAAGGAACGCCAAATCTTTGCAAGATTGTCTACTGTATTCCATCGGCCATACACAGTAATGTAGGTTCGGACGGTCATTCGAGCAGCGGATCCACTTTGTGTAAGTCCCACCCTCTTTATTATGATATGGATCCATATTAATTGTAGAAAGTACTTTGCTGCAAGTACGTGTGTCGAGGGTTGCGGACGTAAGATACCATTGGCATCGGCATCGAAGGTGCGCATATACTGAGCGAAGGTCTTGATACTTAGAACAGAAGGATAACCATTGCGTAACGCAGTGTGTCTCATCAACGATGATTCGGTTGATTTGGGAAACAAATTTTGTATTCCGCCAAAGTAGCCTCATGAGTTCGCTGGTCAGCAAATCCGGTCCAAGGATAACATATTTATATTTGATTTCTGCTATCTCCTGCATAGAAATTAGCCTATCGGTGTGTGTGGAGTAAGAGAAACATACATTTATTACTTCTTTACTGATGGTTTCAGCTTCCAAAGTCATCGCACTCAAACCTAACTTGACGGCACTCTCGCGGTGTTGGTGAGCCAGTTTTTTTAGAGGGATGATAATGAAGGTAACACCAGATTGTTCATAGAGTGCCGGAAGGAAAAATGTATATGTTTTTCCAGTACCAGTTGCTGCAGTAGCGACGAGATTATGTTCGGGAAATCGAAGAAGATGTTCCACAATTTCAGCTTGGAACCAGCAGGCACGTCTTGACCACATTTTTTCACTCAGGGCCCTGATCTGCTCAGCTGTAGGCATAGGCTTTATTGTGGTGGAGGGCTCAGATGAGATGGACATGGAAGGTTCAGATGGGATAGGATCAAGTGAAGCGGAGGCGGACATGGAGGGCGGAGATGTTGGCGTTGGATGCCTAATCGGGCCACAGATTAGCACGGGAAAATTTGGGACGGAAAGTGCTGTAGCACAGCCATCTACAATTTGCCCCAGTCGGAGGAGCGAAGTGTCGCAGGCAAGTTTCGGAGTAGGTGATCGGCTATGTGTTTAACTCCGTACCATGTGATCTGTTGTATTGAGTACAGAACGTGACTTTAATCAGAAGCAGGTCTAGTGTGAGAACATTTATTTACATTGCATAAAAAAGCTATTATTTTGCGCGTCCACGGAGCTCCTCCGACTGGGTACGAGTCTGGGGGTGGTGGCATAATGCCTGGTGCTAGCGGCTCAGGTGGTAGTGGAGTAGTGGGGCAGTATAGTGGATGGCCCTCTCTTGGGCTCATGTCCCTCCATGGCTTCTTGCTGAAGCAGAAAGTGTATTGTTATTAAGGTGAAAGGCTAAACTAGGTTAGGGTACTTGCCTGAAGCAGAAAGTGAGAAGAAGGTTGCTTCTGTCATATCCCAGAATCCCAACCCTGCACTCTCCCACCTCACTACACCTTCCTAACAACCTCATCATCCCCTACACCATACCCCCCCCACTTCCCAATGTCGCCTTCCTCCCCAACTGTCTCAGCTCTGGCCTGGATTTCGGCACACTTGCCCTTGGTGTCATATCCGTGCATACCCGACCCCTACCCGACTTCCGGACCTCCACCCTCTTCACCTCCGGTCCTGGCAACACACCTCCTCTCACCCCCCACGCCACCTCTGCTCCTCCTTCCCTCTCCTCCCCTATCTCCATCCGCTCCAATATTCCCCTCGGACCGAACGCCGCCCCTCTCGCCACCCTCCTACTACTCCTCCTCCTCCTACTCCGCTCCTCCTTCACAACACCTCCACCCTCCCGTCACCCTCCTCTGCTTCCACCATCCGCTCCGATACTCACCTTCGGACCTGACAACTCTCCTCTCCACCACTCCTCCTCCCTTACCTTTCCCCTCTCTCCTCCCTCTGGTACTCCTCCACCACCCTCCCGCCAAGTTACAACCTTCCACCGCTGTCCCGTACTTCGTACTCGGACACCGCTCATACCGTTGCTCCGAGCCTCCGTCATAGTCCCTACCTCGGACTTTGACTCCACCTCGGTCTTAGTCCATTGCATTGGTGACCTCATACTACGTAAACACCATTGCCAATATCCCTTGGACTTTCAACCCCGCCTCCGTAACCTCCGTAAGCTCCACAACCCCTGAGCTTCACGGATCGCCTTCGGCACTTTCGCTGCTTGTAATGTATCTCTCGCCTTTACCCCCCATCCCTATTTGGACTACTGCTTCTTCCCATTCTAGCCAGTTAGTCATCATCCCCACTTCTCCTCATCCTCCTGCCCCTCTGGGCCTCGCCCTCCCTACCTCCTTTCGGACGTATCACAGGTCCTACCTTATGACCTTCGGTACCGCTCCGCTTCTTCTACCCTTTGTTCCCGTTCGGACGTCTTCGTTCCGATTTGGTACCCTTTGTTTTCCTTGTGCTTTTGCCCCCTCCATTATATATATCGGCGCTTGTACATACTCGTTTTGGTTCAGTCCGAAATCAACCTGAAATGCCCCCTAGAGACTTCCTGCTCACCTACTGTGAAATTAAGGACCAAATGGACAAACAGCAATGACACAGCGCTCCGCTTGAGTCGCTGAGGCCAAGGTCCCTCCACGCTAAGTCTCCGATTCCACTCCGGAGTCGTCTGTATCCGCCCGTTCTAACACTTGGCCACTCCCATCCTGGAAGCTCGGCCCCAAGTCGGAACATTCGGAGACTCCGGATTGGCTCCGACCCCCCAACAGATCTCTGACATAGTGTGACATGCCTCTAAACCGTTCCCCCTCCCATTTCATTTAGTGGAGTCACCCAACATCCTTTGGATATGTAACTCCAGCTTTGGAGCTACCCACATCCTCCGGTGATCCCGCTCACATCATCATAAATTAGTCACCTTCCATTTGTAGTATGACTGTTGTCTTCTTTCCATTCAGTCGGCTAACTTCCCTTTACCCATTTCTCGTTCCCATTTATCCTCCAGCCTTCTACTCCACCCTCCTTGACCTGACACCTCAGTTCCCCGTTAAGGATATTGTTCAGGACCTTTTGGTATCATTTGGCACCTTTTGGTGTTTGTCAGTATCACTCAGACTTTGACTAAAGTCCTTCTCTTCCTCCCTCTATATATACCTGTAGATTAGAACCCTTTGTACCTCAGTTCTAATCTCGACTGAAAGTTACCCCAAGTCCCTCTATGAGTGAATCCTGACCTCCTCCTACAAGATACCTCAGACACATGAAATAAAAGGACTAACTGAGACGTAACGGAGGCACAGTGCTCCCTCCGAGTCACTGAGGCTGTGTCTTTCTTAGAGCCTCTTGTACCACCCAGCAGACTTGGGCTTCCTGGAGAAGCTTCAGTTCACTACCGGAGTTCTCGGATCCCCTCTAGTTGAGCCCCACCTGCATTTGGACTCATGCACTTTACCCTCATTTGGGGTTTTTGACAGCTTCTTCGGTTCTGCTTTGGCTCGGTTTATATACAAGTGGGAATCAGTCATGTGAGGATGCCACGTCACCCCCAGAATGGAGCTGGGCCATCGCGGGTGGCTCTGCAGGTGATCCCAAGTGTCAGAGAAGAGAAATACAAGTAGAGGTGCGCAGCGCATCCAGCAGTGTGGCACCTGTGCAGGGTACCTGGTGTCGGATGCATCCTGGCTACAGGCATAAAGGAGAAGGTCATCCATATGGAGAAAGAAGGAAAGAAAGAAGGAAGAAAAGAAAGAAAGAAAGACAGGAGAGAGAGAAGGAGGTGGCACAGGGTGGCGTGCCCTGACGGCGGACTCAGGTGAGAGTGCCAGTGTCCATGTTGAAACCCACGCTGTTGTCTGACTTTCTGGAATCACATTGCCACTAGCAATAGTGACTTCTCCCTCATCACTAGAGCCATTGGATTCACTGGGACACGTGCTGGGACAGTTTGGAGTATTAGAAGGGGGGGATATTGGATTGATTGTGGATGTGCAGGATTGATGACTCAGAAAAAAGTCAGTAATTGTCCACTTCTTCTGATCAGTTGCTGTTTTGTTGCTCATCTCTCACAGCTTTGCTTTGGTAGCTCACCATTTGGCAGCATGATAATGCTGTGTATGCTCAGCCTGAGTCCCATTGATTGTGTTTCCGGCATAGTGGACTTTGTTTCTGGGAATTGCACCACGCTTATTGATCAATGCCACAAGTGCTTTTTGGGATTCAGCCAGTCGCTTCCAAAGGGGGGGATTGGTGGGATATGAGGGTGAGTGTCTGGTTCACACTCATCATCAATTTCAATTTCAGAATCACTCTCTAGCTCAAAGTCAACACTCCCTGAATCAGAGAGAGCAATTGATATCGATGACAAGCAGGTCCAAAATTGGTAATAATGGTTCATTTGGACCCTGTTCATATATGCGTGATTTCTGTATGCATGATATTTGCAAGAATATGTGAGTTACAAATTGGATAAAAATGAAAAAAATGAACCTTCTGGGAGTATAGTCCCAAATTATTTGCCTGCTTGCATTTTTTTTGTTAGAGGCATACACAGTAACTCGGTTCTGCTGAGTTTTGGAGGGAAAAGGGAATGGCAACATATTTCCTTCTTTGATTTCGGCAGTTACCACCATTCATTTCTGCCCACACAAACAACAATTTTCAATATGGCATTTATTAAAAATATAAATCCACCAAGGTGTCTATTATACAGCTTCCAGGCCCCCATTTGAGCAGTGGAAGTCTTGTGTTGACAATAAGAGGCAATGCAGGTTTTGTCATTTTTGCTTCCAGAGAGTGATTACTTATGTATGACAGAGAATTAGCAAGGAGGGACCTTGGCCTCAGTGACTCAATGGGAGTGCTGTGCCATTGCTGTTTGTCCATTTGGTCCTTAATTTCAGAAGTGATGAGCAGGAAGTCCTAGGGGGCACTTCTAGACTGAGGGTCTGAAAGTGCCTGTATATAATGGGGAGACAAAAGCACAAGGAAATCAAAGGGGGTCCGAATCGGAACAAAGGTGTCTGAATGGAGACAAAGGGAATTATGGAAGTGGAGTGGTACCGAAGGTCATGGGTAGACTCTATGGTACATCCAAAAGGAGGTGGGGAGGGCAAAGCGCAGAGAGGCAAGAGGATGAGGTGAAGTGGGGTTGATGACTAACTGGCTAAATGGAAGGAAACAGTAGTCCAAATAGGGATGAGGGGAAAGTGCAAGAGATACAGTACAAGCGGCGAAAGTGCTGAGAACAGTCCATGAAGCTCACAGGTAGTGGGGCTTACAGAGGTTGTGGAGGTGGAGGAGGTGGAGTCAGAAGTCCAAGGAATATTGGCAATGGCATTTACATAGAATGAGGTCACCAATGCAATGGACTTAGCCAAGGTGGAGTCAAAGTCCGAGGTCAGAACCATGATGGGATTTTGGAGCAAAGGTACGAGCGGTGTCTGAGTATGGGGTACAGGACTATGGCAGAAGGTCATAACTTGGCGGAGGTTGGTGGAAGAGGATTGGAGGGAGAGGAGTGATGAGGAGGTGACATCATGCCCAAAGGTGGGTATTGGAGTGGATGGGAGTAGGGTAGGTGTCAGGGCAATAGCCCTGAACCCCAAGCCATATGTAATTATGATGTACATAAAGTCATGTGGGTAAGTGGGAACTTCTGTTAACCGCTTACGCACACTGTAAAATACACATCATCATATCACTTATGGCCTCATGTGCTGAGCAACCCCACTGAGACCTCACACTTTTTTAAGTGTATGAGGTGTATTTTACAACACAACCCACAAAACTATATCCCATCGCTTTAACAACTTGACTCAGTAGCGCCAATGGCACCAAAACATGCCCACAAGGGCAAGGTCGCTTCTGCAGTG